CAAGCGTGAGAGAGTAGGCACATACTATCTCTTCCAAGCGTGAGAGAGTAAGGCACATACTATCTCTTCCAAGCGTGAGAGAGTAAGGCAAATACTATCTCTTCCAAGCGTGAGAGAGTAAGGCAAATACTATCTCTTCCAAGCGTGAGAGAGTAAGGCACATACTATCTCTTCCAAGCGTGAGAGAGTAAGGCAAATACTATCTCTTCCAAGCGTGAGAGAGTAAGGCACATACTATCTCTTCCAAGCGTGAGAGAGTAAGGCACATACTATCTCTTCCAAGCGTGAGAGAGTAAGGCACATACTATCTCTTCCAAGCGTGAGAGAGTAAGGCACATACTATCTCTTCCAAGCGTGAGAGAGTAAGGCACATACTATCTCTTCCAAGCGTGAGAGAGTAAGGCACATACTATCTCTTCCAAGCGTGAGAGAGTAAGGCAAATACTATCTCTTCCAAGCGTGAGAGAGTAAGGCACATACTATCTCTTCCAAGCGTGAGAGAGTAAGGCAAATACTATCTCTTCCAAGCGTGAGAGAGTAAGGCACATACTATCTCTTCCAAGCGTGAGAGAGTAAGGCAAATACTATCTCTTCCAAGCGTGAGAGAGTAAGGCACATACTATCTCTTCCAAGCGTGAGAGAGTAAGGCACATACTATCTCTTCCAAGCGTGAGAGAGTAAGGCACATACTATCTCTTCCAAGCGTGAGAGAGTAAGGCACATACTATCTCTTCCAAGCGTGAGAGAGTAAGGCAAATACTACCTCTTCCAAGCGTGAGAGAGTAAGCCAAATACTATTTCTTCCAAGCGTGAGAGAGTAAGGCAAATACTATCTCTTCCAAGCGTGAGAGAGTAAGGCACATACTATCTCTTCCAAGCGTGAGAGAGTAAGGCACATACTATCTCTTCCAAGCGTGAGAGAGTAAGGCAAATACTATCTCTTCCAAGGGTGAGAGAGTAAGGCAAATACTATCTCTTCCAAGCGTGAGAGAGTAAGGCACATACTATCTCTTCCAAGCGTGAGAGAGTAAGGCACATACTATCTCTTCCAAGCGTGAGAGAGTAAGGCACATACTATCTCTTCCAAGGGTGAGAGAGTAAGGCAAATACTATCTCTTCCAAGCGTGAGAGAGTAAGGCACATACTATCTCTTCCAAGCGTGAGAGAGTAAGGCACATACTATCTCTTCCAAGCGTGAGAGAGTAAGGCACATACTATCTCTTCCAAGCGTGAGAGAGTAAGCAAATACTATCTCTTCCAAGGGTGAGAGAGTAAGACAAATACAACCTCTTCCAAGCGTGAGAGAGACAAATACTACCTCTTCCAAGCGTGAGAGAGTAAGGCAAATACTATCTCTTCCAAGCGTGAGAGAGTAAGGCACATACTATCTCTTCCAAGCGTGAGAGAGTAAGGCACATACTATCTCTTCCAAGCATGAGAGAGTAAGGCACATACTATCTCTTCCAAGCGTGAGAGAGTAAGGCACATACTATCTCTTCCAAGCGTGAGAGAGTAAGGCACATACTATCTCTTCCAAGCGTGAGAGAGTAAGCCAAATACTATCTCTTCCAAGGGTGAGAGAGTAAGACAAATACAACCTCTTCCAAGCGTGAGAGAGACAAATACTACCTCTTCCAAGCGTGAGAGAGTAAGGCAAATACTATCTCTTCCAAGCGTGAGAGAGTAAGGCACATACTATCTCTTCCAAGCGTGAGAGAGTAAGGCACATACTATCTCTTCCAAGCGTGAGAGAGTAAGGCACATACTATCTCTTCCAAGCGTGAGAGAGTAAGGCACATACTATCTCTTCCAAGCGTGAGAGAGTAAGCCAAATACTATCTCTTCCAAGGGTGAGAGAGTAAGACAAATACAACCTCTTCCAAGCGTGAGAGAGACAAATACTACCTCTTCCAAGCGTGAGAGAGTAAGGCAAATACTATCTCTTCCAAGCGTGAGAGAGTAAGGCACATACTATCTCTTCCAAGGGTGAGAGAGTAAGGCACATACTATCTCTTCCAAGCGTGAGAGAGTAAGGCACATACTATCTCTTCCAAGCGTGAGAGAGTAAGGCACATACTATCTCTTCCAAGCGTGAGAGAGTAAGCCAAATACTATCTCTTCCAAGGGTGAGAGAGTAAGACAAATACAACCTCTTCCAAGCGTGAGAGAGACAAATACTACCTCTTCCAAGCGTGAGAGAGTAAGGCAAATACTATCTCTTCCAAGCGTGAGAGAGTAAGGCACATACTATCTCTTCCAAGGGTGAGAGAGTAAGGCACATACTATCTCTTCCAAGCGTGAGAGAGTAAGGCACATACTATCTCTAAACTGGAGGGGCTCTCTGGAGCTCTGTCTGAAGGAGACTCTTACACCAGCAGTGGCACGAGCAAAAAAATGTTGGGCTGCTCATTTACCTTTAAAAATAATATATTTAGAACTTTAGGCCGACCTTGCCTGTATAAATTAAACCAGTTTAATCCGAAAGGCTTTACAATATTTTTTTTGGCAGCCAACAATGTGAAAATGTTGTCGTTTGTATGTTTCACGTTATACAGTGAGGGAAAAAAGTATTTGATCCCCTGCTGATTTTGTACGTTTGCCCACTGGCAAAGAAATGATCAGTCTATAATTTTAATGGTAGGTTTGTTTGAACAGTGAGAGACAGAATAACAACAAAAAAATCCAGATAAACGCATGTCAAAAATGTTATAAATTGATTTGCATTTTAATGAGGGAAATAAGTATTTTACCCCTCTGCAAAACATGACTTAGTACTTGGTGGCAAAACCCTTGTTGGCAATCACAGAGGTCAGACGTTTCTTGTAGTTGGCCACCAGGTTTGCACACATCTCAGGAGGGATTTTGTCCCACTCCTCTTTGCAGATCTTCTCCAAGTCATTAAGGTTTCGAGGTTGACGTTTGGCAACTCGAACCTTCAGCTCCCTCCACAGATTTTCTATGGGATTAAGGTCTGGAGACTGGCTAGGCCACTCCAGGACCTTAATGTGCTTCTTCTTAAGCCACTCCTTTTTTGCCTTGGCCGTGTGTTTTGGGTCATTGTCATGCTGGAATACCCATCCACGACCCATTTTCAATGCCCTGGCTGAGGGAAGGAGGTTCTCACCCAAGATTTGACGATACATGGCCCCGTCGATCGTCCCTTTGATGCGGTGAAGTTGTCCTGTCCCCTTAGCAGAAAAACACCCCCAAAGCATAATGTTTCCACCTCCATGTTTGACGGTGGGGATGGTGTTCTTGGGGTCATAGACAGCATTCCTCCTCCTCCAAACCCTCCTCCAAACACGGCGAGTTGAGTTGATGCCAAAGAGCTCCATTTTGGTCTCATCTGACCACAACACTTTCACCCAGTTGTCCTCGGAATCATTCAGATGTTCATTGGCAAACTTCAGACGGGCATGTATATGTGCTTTCTTAAGCAGGGGGACCTTGCAGGATTCAGTCCTTCACGGCGTAGTGTGTTACCAATTGTTTTCTTGGTGACTATGGTCCCAGCTGCCTTGAGATCATTGACAAGATCCTACCGTGTAGTTCTGGGCTGATTCCTCACCTTTCTCATGATCATTGCAACTCCACGAGGTGAGATCTTGCATGGAGCCCCAGGCCGAGGGAGATTGACAGTTCTTTTGTGTTTCTTCCATTTGCGAATAATCGCACCAACTGTTGTCACCTTCTCACCAAGCTGCTTGGCAATGGTCTTGTAGCCCATTCCAGCCTTGTGTAGGTCTACAATCTTGTCCCTGACATCCTTGGAGAGCTCTTTGGTCTTGGCCATGGTGGAGAGTTTGGATTCTGATTGATTGATTGCTTCTGTGGACAGGTGTCTTTTATACAGGTAACAAGCTGAGATTAGGAGCACTCCCTTTAAGAGTGTGCTCCTAATCTCAGCTCGTTACCTGTATAAAAGACACATGGGAGCCAGAAATCCTTCTGATTGAGAGGGGGTCAAATACTTATTTCCCTCATTAAAATGCAAATCAATTTATAACATTTTTGACATGCGTTTTTCTGGATATTTTTGTTGTTATTTTGTCTCTCACTGTTCAAATAAACCTACCATTAAAATTCTAGACTGATCATTTCTTTGTCAGTGGACAAACGTACAAAATCAGCAGGGGATCAAATACTTTTTTCCCTCACTGTACACATAGATTCGACCGGCTGTATTTGTGCCGAATTGTGAGCATTCTAATCCCTTCTCGTGTGCATCATTAGAATTTCCATCAGTCGCGATCTCTTTATTTGATCAGGAAATCTCAAACCACTCGCCCACCCAAGCCACCCACCACGACGCGCCTTGCCGAATCATCAATCGTCTCCGTTTAAACACAAATGTAGTCGCGTTACACGCCGCACGCGCCTTTTAACGAGTAAAACACATCTCACATTATTTAGACATTTAAGAAGCGCCTTCAATGCGTTTCAATCTGAATCAGCGGCCTCCACCTCACGAGAGACCCCCACGTATATACAAACATACACACACACAGAAGACGTGTTTAGCAATCATCGGGTGCGTGTGGCGTGTATCGGTTTATATATCTAAAAAAAAACTGGCTATCATGAGTTCGATTTCCGGCCATGGCTAACATCAGACATCATTTGCGAATGATATCTGAACCAGTGGTAGCCCACCGCCTCGTCTTCATAATCCCCCAACGATGATTGTTAAAACAACCGCTGTGATGACAGACACGGGTCTGGGGAGGCCTTCATCCAGCAGTGGATCGACATACCACCGCATTTTTATTATTATTAAACGAAGATTGGTAACCACGGAAAGGCGGACAATGATGATTCGCATGGACTGGAGTGTATGAAACGGGGTATGAGATGGGTGTATCAATAACGGATGAGGCAGGGTGTTTTTTTACAGCCGTTCCACAATCCATGTTGGACGACTCTTCAAAATCCACCTCCGTGTTTTTCCACCGATTTCTTCTCCTTCCCCCTCTCTCTCTCTCGCTCTCTCCCTCCCCCACATCACATCACCGCCCCCACCCTCCCTGACTTCATCCCTCCAGCCCCACCACACAATTGCAGCCTCGCTTTTGCAGCTACGCGTACAGCCAGCCGGGTCCGCTCTGATGAATATTACGTAGAGCGCGGTTGCAATGCTGTACGGGTGTTTATTTGTAATCTGTATCCGTATACAAGCAGTGACGTGCGACGTCCTAATATAAACAACATCAGCATAGGTGAATTCTCAGCGAATTCTTGCTCATCTCTGCTGATGCACTAGGCAATACACACACACACGGCAGCATCAGCAGCAGCGGGAATAGGCTACTGTGTGTTTTCAAGAATTATATATTTATATGCATGTATCTGTGATACGTACGGAACGCGTAATAAACACATCAATGCACGAGGAGTCAGAAGGCGCACGAGGGGACCATGCCAGCCCGGAGAGACGGCGCAGGCAGCCGTGAGGTGTCAGACGGAACGGTTCGCGTCTGGACTCGGTTCCTCGACACGGTGGTCAGCGCCGTCGCCTCGGCAGGTGAGCACGACCCTGCCCCATGCCGGCCTTTGTCTTCTCTTCCCTTGTGCTGTCTTGCCCTCTTCTCTGCCCTGCCTCTCTCTTCCCTGCCCTTCCCCCAGTGCGGGCTTTCCCTAGCTCTTCATTTCCCTGTCGTACCCTTCTCTTCTCTTGCATTCCCTGCTGCTTTGCCCTGTCCAGGTCGCCCGGTCGTGACCCCACCCCTCTCCACCAGTAATCGTTATATTTCTATTTGCTTTGTTATCAGCGCGATTCAAAATGAATTCGTTATCGCTGTTGCTGCTCGTCGGCCACTTGCCTACCACATGCGCTGCGCAACGGGATGGCTGTTGCGTGAACAATCATTCGTTGGTGGTAATGGTGATAATGATACCGTTGCTGTGGATGATGATGATGGTGGTGGTGGTCATGGTAGTGGCGACGGTGGTGTTGATGTCGCTGGCGAGATGGAGATATGGAGCTGGATGGTGGGTGGCCTGTAGATTCTGAGATTGCGTTGACATCATCCTGCGGAGGTGAACATATTAAGTTTGAGTCTGCGTGCGCTTGTGAGGCTCTGGTTACGTTTTTTAATTGCGCCACGTTGCTTTTTCACACGCGATACATCACTTGGATCATGAAAAAAAACACCTCAGTATATATCAAATTATTTAATAACCATATTCCGCTGCACATCATGGATTAATGTCTCAAAATAATATTTTCCAGGGTCGCTGGGAGACTGGAGTATGTGGCACGTACCTAAGTGTCCACAGACATAGCGAGACATATATTGGATGTGGTGTGCCGAGTGCGAACATTATTTTCTCGGGTAGCCAATCCGAACAGATCGCGGCTGAAATTAAAGCCCTGACGACAAGAATGACCACACACTGCGTACGTACGTGTGAATAGGTTCAGACCTGTTAAACGTCACTCTCTTTTCCGCCCCGTGGCAGTCTCAAATCTGACGAACGTGTGAGATGCTGTTTATACAGGAAACATTGTACACACCGAACAAACCGATCTCCCCACCTCCCAACCCACCCGTTGTGTCTCACGCTGCCACGAGGCAATCTCACGCCCTCCGCTGGCCGCTCTCACGCATTGCCCATCTATCAGCGTGAGAGCGCTGTGAGCTTACGAATATTGAATACAGATGTCCACTATTGCCCATTATGTAACTCGACGTGTGCTCTCGTACAATGTTCAATTAGGCACCACGTGTAATCACAATATCAGAGTTTTCCCCAAACTTCAGTTCTTGTGGCTTAGGGAGGCGTTCATCCAGCAGTGGCATTGCTCATGGCTCACGATGATGAGTCCTTGTGACACACCACGCGCATTTCCGTGTTTGTCAGTCTCCTTCGATTACATACAAATTAAGTCGTTCCACACTGCATGCGCCTGATGATTGGTACACATTTTCCATGCGTGCATGTGTTTTCCACGCAAGAGGTGTTGCATATTATTGGGGTTCTCTCACACCACGTGGGATGTGTTTAGCAAACATCTGCCATGTGCAGCGTGTAACGAATTCATATTTCACTATAAACTGTTAATTCTCATTGTGATGTATACTTCGGCGTTGGTGGAACTGCAGTTACGCTGCAGGAATATACATGTGAGCTCCATTCTCACTTTATTGGAATTCCTGTGAGAAGACTTGCCATGTGAATGTGGAATTACCACTCGTGACTCAGGGAAGCCAACAGATATAGATGTGTCCTGTCCTCAACGCTGAGCGTGGAGAAATTACACCTTTGATTTGTCTGGGAGTACAAATGCAAATTATTTATCTAATTTTTAGCCCTTTGTTTTCGCCTGAAATGATGGGCTACTCCATACCATGTTGGTCATCATCAACCCACACTGACCCAGGGCTGGTGGATATCAGCCACCATGGGGATGTTAGCCGTGGTCGGTAATCGAACTCAGGTCACCGAGCTCATTGGACAGTGCCCCCATGCAGCTATTCCAAAGGTTTGAATAAAATAAAAATAAACGCAAGGGAAATGTATCCGTGGTCTTTTATTGACACAGCCAACCATTTAAGTAAGTGATCTGTGGCTTTCCACAAAATTCATTGTTTTATATTTAATAATACTAATGCCGTTTATGTACCCACGAAAGCCCGAGTCTCGTGACTTTTTCAGGTGGGGGGGGCCGAGATCGGCATGTCGGGCCAATTCCATAAATGAGTGGTATGTGGCAATCTTGATTTGAAGCTATCGTGACAGCAGGAATCCATACTCTTTGGTAGGATGTCGGAGTACCTGGAGAAAATCACCTACATATACTATGGCATCTAGACTCATAATTCTGCACGGTTAGATTTAAGCATACGTTGTTGTACTAAATGATAAAAAAACATTTATCCAGGTAAGGCCCACTGAGCTATATAGCTCCTTTTTCAGAATCGACCTGACCACAAATGATAGCTCAACGAAGTTGCTTATCTTGTGGAAATTTATAGTAGCAGCCACATACTCTAAACGCATGTTTCTAGATGTGGAGGGAAAACCAGGAGGAGCTGGAGATAAATCCACGCGACCACGGGGAGAACACGCAAACTCCAAATATACAGGCATTAGGGTTGGGATCGAACCCACGACCTTCCTCTATACCAGGCGAGGTAGTTACCATCTCGCTATTGTACTGCCATCACCTAGTCTATATCAGTCGTCTATAGCAGTGTGCATGGCACACTCCATATTTATGCAGCTTACCGCTCCCCCATGCCATAGTTGGCACATGTAATACCATCCTTATTCTACGGTTGTAAATTTGAATTGGTATGCGTGTAGCACAGGCTGTGTTTGTTTACGCGGTGAGACTCGGCACAAGCACAACTACAGGCGTACCCAACACTCGTCGAAGCATTATCCAGACATTCGAGCAGACTGATACGGTATTGACATTACTGTTAGTACTGGACGCCTATTCATTTGGCGACCTGAAATCCACTCCGAGACTTTATCTGCGATTCGGGACAGACCCACGTCTGTGCAATTTCAAGCTGGGGAGAGTATTAAGGAGATGAGAACACGGACGCATCATCCAAGCGCCACACAAGCATCTGCCATGGGAATTGCCACTCAATGCATGCCCTCCCCCACGGGCCCCAGCCCCAAACCCCCACCACCTCAGTCACCCACCCAGCCATAGCTATCGCAACCGATGTTCTACTTCCGGGTCTGGCAGTCGTGTGGCTTTGTTAGCTCCAGTTCGGTGGTGGCGGTGCTCCCGTGCCAGGTTTTCGAGCAGCAGGGACTATGTGCAATATACCAAACGTTCAGATGCACAGTGTTTTTTTTTTTTTAGCAGCGGTGGCTATGTGACTCCAGTATGCTGGAGTTTTATAACTGCAGGAGACATTGCACCACACCGAACACTGCAAGACCCAGCCAGGTAGTGGAGACTGTGTGGCTCCAGTCCGACGAGGTGACGCACTCCCATTTCTTTGTCTCTCAAAAGGAGGGGACATTTGACCCGGACATTCCACCGTCCGATCTTGCAGCAGCAGGCTGCGTGGCACCTATTCGGTGGAGCGACGTGCTCTTGTTTCCAGTTTTTTTTAAATTGCAGGGACCACGTACCATTCCAGATGGTCCACTGCCTAGCGACGGCATTGTGGCTCCAGTTTGGTGGAGCGATGCACTCCCGTTTCAGGTTTTTACAATTGTATGGGAAATGCGCAGGTGGATAAACTGATTGTTTTTTTACTCGGGAGTTGACCTGTAGGTCATCAGTGGTCAGGCTCTCGCTGCCAGCCCAGATCTCTGACAAAACTGCATCGATTTTATGATGCTGTCTGGTGAAAGAATCTCCAATGAAGCCGCCTCTGTTGTATTCCAGTTGTTACGTGAAACCGTCTACCCCTTTGCAACTCGGGACTGGAAACCCCGAGATGGGATATCTACTCACCGAATTAGAACCACGAGCTTCTTCAGTGGCCCCGACTTCAGATTCAATGAAATGTTTACATTAAGAAGTTGAGGGGCGCTTCTTAGAGGTGATTTTTAGTTTTAAGACATTTTACCTTTCACATTTTTAAGCCATTTGTTTAAAGACGCGTAACAACACAAGCATGTCGACTTTGCTACCGCAGCTGATTTGAGGAGGCGGGATCACTATTTTCTGAGGTGCCTTTATCTGACCAGACAATAGCCCTTGGAGACAACAATACCCTGATGCGTGTATTTATCGAAAAGGTAGTTTCTGCAAAACAATGGTCAAATTGGCAGCAAGCAGCAGTTATTTTGCCAATCTTTTCCACAAAATACCAATGGGAACCTGACTTTTTGCCAACTCATGAATCAGGCTTCACGTTTCCTTTGCAGGGGGAAGCCAGAACGAGACTTACACGCTATGCAACAGAGTTGATGTAAAGTGAAAGAGGCATCCACTTGTCTTCAACAGAAACAAAAAAACACTTATAGCAATCTCTGCATACTTTGCATGGCAAGATGACATCACCATTTTTTGCTCATATCCCACACACAGCCTTGCCATGGCCACCAGCTCAATGGAGCCAAGTTTGTGGCAATTTAAATTTGGATATCCACCGTTGCCTATTGCTACAAATTGTTTCCTGACGGCTGTACGTATTGTTGACAAAGCAGCCTCTTGAAATATTGATAATTATCAACATGATCAGAATTACACAACCGTGTTGTTTTTTTACGGCTGTGCTGCATGGCTTTCCGACGGGGTTCAGGTCATACGGCGTCCCGTGATGTCCGACGCGTCACTCTATGCTCTGGGAGCTTCTTCAGAAAAAAAGGCATCTGTCAATACATATCCTAAGGCCTGCTTTTGAAAATAAGTAGATTTTTTTTCTTTTTATACTTTTAGCGAATGATATCCCTTTTTTTTTTAGTCGTTGCACAATCTCATGGTGTCCATCCATTAGTCCCGAGGTGTCCGTACACAGGATTTGGAAACACTGCCACACTGCCACACGTCCTCCCTCATGTAGGAACTCACAAAATCCCATGCCAAGTCTGTGAGGACCTGCA